AGCCTACTTATCAGCCTCCTTAGCTCAAAAACCCTAAAATCTAACCCTTTTCATCCTTGTGTGTTCTTGACCTTGTCGAGTTCAGTTTTGGTAGCTTGGATCTTTGGAAAGAAGAAGAGGAAGTTGGTGAAGGAGAGTTAGTGAAGCTTGAGGTTGAATATCCAAAACATCATCATCATTTAGCACTCATTTGAGGTATAAAGTTCAGAACTTGCCTTATGAATGCTTAGGTCTCTTGTGTTTGAGTTTTTAGACCTTTTTGGTCCAATTGATGAAGCTTTATTGATCAAAGTCGTTTCTTAAGCTTAGGGTTTCCACCCTTGATGTTATTTGAGTCCCTAAGTCATAAAGTTGCCATCTTGGAGGTCTTGAAGCATCCATGCATGAGTATTGGTCATTTCTTAAGGAAGTAGTTTGTCATATTCGAAGTTTGGGTTCATTTGGGGGTATGCAAGCCACCAAGTGGTTGACCTTATGGGTTATAACCCTTCATTGGACTATGATGCGACCTGGCTCCGAACCACCTAAGCTACAGAGAGATGTTCATCGGAATGGAACCTGAAAGGCCACAAAGAAAGAAGAGACATCAGCCGCTTTCCGGGAGGAGGTCCCGGAAAGACGCTCTGACGGTCAAGTTAGTGAGATGAATCTGGAGTATGGAGGTTGATGGTCAGGGCTGAATAGCTTACCTCTCAAGGCAGAGTAATCGACCTTTTATACTGAAGATCTTCCTCGGTCCGTATGAGGGAGAAGGATTGCGGTTCCGACAGGATCCGCCGTTCTTATTGTAGGGCCATGCTCCACGTTTGTGTCCAGTCCAACGATTGGTCCAGACAATAATGCTCTGACTGCGCTCTTTGTCGCATGGACTCGTTATCCTTGGACTGTAGCTGAAGGACAATATTTGGCGAGGGCGGACTTCCTACGCGATCGCCTCGCGGGAGTCCTGGGCCGCTGAGGCGGCCGAGTCGCTGGCCCGACTTCTCGCTGTGAGCGCATCGCCGGGGGTTCGTGTCGTACCCCCAAACCAGAACGGCGGAAACGTTCGGGGGTGGAGGACTTAAGGTAAGTATCACAACACATGCATCATAGTAATCAAAGTACAAACAACCATTGTATTTAAAAAGTATAAATATTTACATGTGTTCAATCATTGTATATTGAACCAAAATATAGTTATACAAAAGAAGATATGACTCAACAAAGCTCCATCTTCTCAAAAGCTCGGGGAGTACCTGTGTATTATTTCCCTGAGAATACAAGTAATTTGAAAAGAGAGTATCAACATAAAGTTGAGTGAGTGCATAAATGTTTATGTTTGAAAGAGTATCTCTGTATCTTGTATATGTAAACTGTTTCAGAAAATCCTATATTTTCTGTTTGTATATGAAAAGTAGTTTTATTCCCATAAAACCGTTCTCTGTGTATTAATGTTTTGTATTTGTATTACTTATGAAAACTTGTAACTGAGAGTGTGCCTGGCTCCACCAGCTGTTGTTGAAAACTGTATTGAATCTTTGTATTTTGTATTCTGTGAACTAGTATTTTGAAGGTGTACTTTCGTTTAGTTATTTATACACTAACGTATTGTTAATATCTTTTTAATGAGTTATTATAACCATACTATGACTGATGGCCTGAAACAAACGCTTTGTGGGCGTTTAAACTGGTGATAACAATTGCCACTCATCTAACTGTAGCTAGCAGCCTGAGTGCGGGGTTGTCAATCCCGATATAGATCTACACACATTTGTTTCGATCCCCGGCTGGAGATTCTGGTTATAATGTCAGGACTTTTCTATGTTGTCTAAAATGAATTAAACAACCTGAATCTAGTGTCTCATAAAAAGCATATAAACGTTACATGTATATTAGTTTGAAAACTCAATCATTCTGAAATAATGATTGACAGTATATTCTTTGAATCAAAACCCAATCATTCTGAAATAATGATTGACAGTATGTCCTTGAATTAGTATTTCCAAACATGTATTTGATAAGTGTAAACCTTGATTTGTTCTGTATCAAAACCCTAGTTTCTTGTGTATTCTAGTATACTTGTATCATGAATTATTGTTCTATGTATAAATTATACCTATTATAATTTATATGTACTCTCTGATTGTGTATTTAACCATGTTTGCATGTAATCCCTTGCTCAGCATGTTACAAAGGTAGTTAAACTGATGAAATAACTATTATATTTATATACATATACAATTTTATATATAAGTAAAATTTAAACGACACTCGGACAAGTAACCGGTACTTTAAGCCCACATCCAAACAAGGAAAAGGACCCAGAATTAGTTATCAGTCCTAAGCCTTTTAAATCTTATTTATATACATATATATATATATATATATATACAAATATGAATTTTGGGGAAAAATATAAGATTATAAAAGAGTTTGATGTTTTGAGTATTTTTAGATAATTTAATGTTATTTTATCATGATTTGAATCATGATTTTATAACACAAAGTTCTTGTGTTATGCTTGTATTCCCCCCCTTAAAACAGTAGAAATTATGAAAATACGGGGGTATGAACTCACTTGATAGATGGTGAACCGGACAGAGTTTCGTTTCACGAAAAGGAGTTTATTTGTCGAGAAACCGGCTCAAATTGGGCAGAGTTTTGACAGGAGAGAGGTTACTTCTAGGGAATCTCGGGGCTTCGAGGTTTGCTTAGGGTTCGAGACTTGATACCGGGGCTTTAGGGGTTGTATATGAGCTTATGGGAGTGGAGAATGTGAAAGAGAATGAAAATTGGGGTGAAAAAGAGTAAAATTTCGGAAGTCCTCGCATGCATATATATAGTCCGAAGGTTCGGACCCGGAGCTATGCGAAGCTGACACGCGTCGGACAGGTGGCTTACTTCGGACCGAAGGCTCGCAAGGTGCTAGGCCCGGATTGGACCAACCCTCGGTCCAATGGGAAGGAGACACGTATGCGAAGGAGGTGTCCGAGGTGCTGTCCGGGGTGTCTCCGGGGTGTCTTCATGCGAAGCTGTTGGCTTCTAAGTGGACCTCAGCTACGGTCCAATCAGGAGGTGCCACGCATGGCTTCGGTCCACTCAGCGGCTGCCATGTGTCACTTGCGAAATTGCCCGGTTTTGCTATTTTTCTTTATTTTTGTGCCAAAACTTGCGAAAATCATAACTTTCGCATACGAGCTCCGTTTTTGGCGTTCTTTATATGCACACGTAGGTAAAATCATACTCTACGACTTTCGTTTAGACTTTGTCGGCTAATTTTGATTTATATTTAATATTATTATTTTAAACAGACCGGGACGGGAATCCGTTAAAAATTCATAACTTCTTCATCCGACGTCCGTTTTCGTCTGTCTTTTTACCGTTGTAGTACTACCAACGACACCTTCAATTCTCGTTTAGGTTGTGTCGGCTAAAAATCGCTCGATCTTTCTTTCGAGTTTTTAGTTGTACACTGCTATACTAAAACTTAGAAAAATCATAACTTCCTTATACGAAGTCAGATTTTTCCGTTCTTTTTATGAAAGTTCTTGGTTTAACATAAACTACAACTTTCATTTAGATTGTTAAGGCTAAAAAGCCTTTTATCGAAAATTCAGTTTTTTACACTGAATAGTGTTTTGTCGGTTTTGTCGCGGATTTTCGATTAGTCATAACTTCTTCGTTATAACTCGGATTTTAGTGTTCTTTATGTTTTTGGAAACCTTGTTACAATCTCTATCACTTGGTTCATCCCAATCGAGATTGCTAAATAATTTATTTTTGAGGGTCAATTATGTAAATATGCACATTATGCTAAAATTTCTCTTTATTATTATAAAAAGAACTACACATTGACCTAAACTATTACATAGGTTTGAAATTACGATTTGTTACAGTCCGCTTGCTTCTCGTCCGCTCTGAGGGGCGCGTCATCAAGTCCCCCAGTCCAGTAGTCATAGCGTATGCTAGCTAGCTATGATGTTCTGGACTTAACTGTTTGTGTATGTGTCATGCTTTTACTCGGTCGTCGCTTCGTTTCCGGTGATGTGACGTTACGACGTGTGCGCGGCGGTTATGTCAGCTGTGTCAGGGATTTTCGTAAATCCTGCTTTTTTTCCCTTTTATTGCTCCCAAGCTGTTTTTCTTTCTCAGTTTCTATCTTGTTTCTTCATTCTTTCTTCTTCTTTCCTTCTTCTGTGTTTTGCCATGGCTTCCTCTCAGGGTTTGATCCCCAGCTCCGCCGAGTTTGTTACCCTCCAAGAGGCTTATGGCCTTACTCCGGCTGATGGAGTGGAGTTTTCGGTCTCTAGATCTCTGATTACCCGGCCCCCTCCTAGGAAAGTGGGTGTTTATCTGAAAACCTTTGATGTCGGCCTTCGCCTTTCGCTGACTGACTTTCAAGAGGAAATACTCTGGCGCAATGGATGCAGTATTCAAATGTTGACCCCGGGTGTTGTTCATAATATGGTAGCCTTCGAGATGATATGCCGGACCAATGGTATCGTTCCCGACTACTATGTGTTCAGGTTCTTCTTCCGGTTTGCTGCTACCAACGATAAGTACACCTTCTATGCCCGTCGGGGAGGCCATAACCATGTCCTTGATAGCAAGCCTCCCAAGAACTAGAAGGACAAGTGGCTGTGGGTCAACCAAGAGCTGCTTGGCCGCGATTATCCTCGGGCAACCGCGTTATCTGACACTATCCCTAAACTATTCCCCTATAATCAGGCGACTGCCGATCTCTTGCGCACTCTCCAGGTGGAGGTTGATGTGATGTCAGAGGTCATACTTGCTGGTGTTTGAATGATCCCCAGCTGGCGTGCTCGGGGGGAGATGTCCGTCTTCTACACTGTTTCTAACGGTAAGTCTTTTTTTACTTCTTCCATTGCCTCCCTTTTTTCCTTCTTCCTCCCCCTCCCTTTTTTTGGAAAAGGAAGAAAAAAGGGGATGGGGGCCTCTCGCCTGTTTCTGTGTTCTCGCGCTTGTTTCCTTATGTTTGACATACGATTGATAGGTGTTGAATGCTCCGTCTCCATGGACTCTGTGCTGCGGGGATGTTATCAGGGAAAGATGGAGCACCGCGTGGTTCCCCTGTACGAGGCTTTGCTCCCCCCCCCCCCCGCCGCTTAGCTGCTGTTACCTCGGTGCCCTCTCAACCAGTAGGAAGTTCTACTGCGTCGGAGAGCCAGCCTGGTCCCCACACTGTTGTAAACCCTGCCGCTATGTTTCGTCCTCCTGTTTAGTCGATAACTGATAATGTGGTGGACAGCAAGATCGGGATTACTGTCAGCGTTCGTCGGGTTGCAGAAAAAAGGAATGATGTGCAGCCGATGAGTGGGCCAGCGCCTGAGGGTAGTTCAGGACCTATTGGTCGGCGTGTGATGCAGCGCTGCGGCCTTATGCGCCAGCTGTCTTTTGTGCCGTCTCATTCAGGGGATGTGTTAGTGATACCCGATGATGACGTTTAACAGTCTGAGGGTATCGGAGGGGCGTCTCATCAGCCCATTGTTCCTGTGCCAATCTCTTTGAGTCTTGGTTTCAGCCCTCTTCTTCGAAGGGTAAGCCTGAGCGGTTGTTTCATGAGTCTGCTGTTGTAGGGGTACTTCACAGTGCACCTCCGTTTGTTCTGGGACGGAGTTTGCGATCCGACTCCTGTTTTTCTGTGCGTTCTGTTGCGTTGGACATTACTCGCCATGCTCTTCCTCCTGCTACTGTCGATGATATGGATTCGATGAGTAACGCCGTCTTAGATAACAACCTTACTTATGTCGCTACACAGGCCATGACATACTTGGCCGCTGGGTCCCGCCGTGTGCAGTGGTTCGACGATCTAGAGCAAGCACACTCTGTTCTTTCGGCGAGCGAGGCTGGTTTGCAGGGCGAGGTGGTGGACCTTGGTGCCACCGTTCAACGATTGGAAGGTGAGAACAAATCTTTGGTGTCGGAGAAGTTGGTTTTAGAAGATGTTCGTAGTGCTTTGGGAGGCCATGTGGAATCTCTAACCTAGGCGAATGAAGGTCTGATGATACAAAATGGAAGTCTGGAGCGTGATCTTGTTGACCGCAAGTGAGAGTTGGAGGTATTAAGGGCTGACCGTAATTGGCTACTTCAGGTTGGCGAAAAATTTGAAATTCTGCACACAGGAGCACCAACTCGGTGAGTACTTGGTCTGTTACTTAGTGGACTCGTCGAGTCAGCCAGTGGACTTGGCGAGTTCACCAGTCAGAAGCCAGAAAATTGATTTTTTCAACTTTGAAAACCAATAAGCATCAAGTATAACTGAAAACAATCTTGGGCTCTGATACCACTGAAGGGTTTTGAGCACTCTAACAACCTTATGGTGCACATGCAACCCAGATGCTTTGGATCTATGTTTTCTCTAATTATACATGCAATTTTATTTTTCAAAGCATTATCCTAACTAGCATACAAAGCATGGGTACTTGAATAACAAAAAGTAGTTAGATAACTTACCTCTTGTTGTAGCTTGTTAACTTGAACCTTTAAGAGCCTAGCACCCCAAATGTGATGCCTCAAATGCTTCACAAAACACCACCAACAATGGAGGACTTGAGAGAGAGTGACTTGCACAAAAATCGGCTCTTATGATCTCTTAGAACAACTAGGTGTCGATTTTAGGAGCTAAGGGACTTCTTTTATAGTGTGGCAAAGTCTAGGGTTTCATCCATGTAAACCCTAATGGACATGAACTTTCATATTACTTAGGCTCCATGGGTTAAACCTCCATGGACTATCTATGGACTACCATATTGGTTTAGCCCATCCTTAATAACTATAGGCCCACACTATAAGAATCATTGATTTACCAAATCAATCCCCGTACATTTAATTAGTCTCTTTTGATCACTAAATTAATTCCAAATTAATTCTTGATCAATACTAATTAAATAATATGATTTCATATTAATATATTAGTACTTATAAAATATTAATAAATCATAAACAACCTCTACTCAAAAGTCCATCCTTTCAAATTGTTCCGGTGAAATGCAACCCAAATGGAGCATGCTATTTTCGGGTCAAGTACATACCAATTATAGTTATGGACTTAGACACCTTATCCAACAAAAATCAATAGTAATGTCCTCCCACTTCCACACGGGAATGTCTAACGGTTGCAACTTCTCGTGAGGCCTTTGGTGCTCTGCCTTGACCTTCCTGCAGGTCAGGCGTCTCTCTACGTACCAGGCTACATCCCGCTTCATGCAGGGCCACCAGTAATCGGGTCGAAGATCTTTATACATCTTCGTCGCCCTGGATGGATGGAGAACCTGGACTTTTGGGCTTCATCCATCAATATATGTCGTCCTCCACCCCAGTACGGTACCCAAACCCTCCCATACAGGGTCAACAATCCACGGTTGTGGTAGTCAAAGTAGGCCACCTGGCTTATGATCCACTCGCACTTACGGCGCTCCTCCTTCAGGCCCTCAACCTGCTCCTCTCGGATCTGCTCCAGCAGTGGAGTAATCACTGTCATCCTCAGACAGATGTCTCGGATTGGGGCCGCTACCACCTTGCGGCTCAGAGCGTCAGCCACTACATTGGCCTTTCCCGGGTGGTAAATGATCTCACAATCGTAATCCTTCACCACATCTAACCACCGACGCTGCCTCATGTTCAGATTCGGATGATCCATGAGATACCTCAAACTCTTGTGGTCCGTGTAAATGGTACAACGGACACCGTGCGCCAAATCTTGAGGGCGAACACCACAGCCCCCAACTTTAAATCAGGTGTCGGATAGTTATCCTCGTGAGGCTTCAGCTGCCTCAAAGCATAAGCTATCACATGACCCCGCTACATCAAAATTGTTCCCATGCCTGTGATCGAAGCATCACAGTAAACTACGAAGTCATCAACTCCCTCCGACAACGTCAGAATCGGTGCCTCACATAACCTCTGCCTGAGGGTCTCGAAGGCCGCCTGCTGCTCAGGCCCCAAGCGGAAAACTACCGACTTCTTGGTCAGTCGGGTCAAAGGAACTGCAAGCTTGGAGAAGTCCTAAATAAATCTTCGGTAATAACCCGCTAGACCCAGGAAACTCCGAATCTCAGTTGGAGACCTCGGAATCTCCCACTGCATCACGGCCTATATCTTGGCCGGATCGACCAGAATACCCTTCTAGTTGACGAGATGCCCAAGGAACTTCACCTCACGCAACCAGAACTCATACTTGGAGAACTTCGCAAAAAGTCTCTCCCTCCTCAGTGTCTCCAACACCTCTCTCAGGTGCTCCTCATGCAGATCCTGAGTCTTGGAGTAAACCAAGATGTCATCAATGAAGACTATTACAGACCGATCCAGCATCGGTCTGCACACGCGGTTCATGAGGTCCATGAACACGGCTGGAGCATTGGTGAGCCCAAACGGCATCACCACAAACTTATAATGACCATAGCGAGTCCTAAAAGTTGTCTTCTGCACATCATCATCCCTGACCCTCATCTGGTGATACCCAGACCATAGATCAATCTTAGAGAACCAAGATGCTCCTTGAAGTTGGTCAAACAAATCATCTATCCTCGGAAGTGGGTAACGGTTCTTCACCGTTACCTTGTTCAGCACCCGGTAGTCTATACACATGCGATGTGACCTGTCCTTCTTCTTCACAAAAAAGATCGGGGCTCCCCATGGTGAACTGCTCGGCATGAAAAAACCCTTGTCTAGCAGCTCTTGCATCTGCGTAGACAACTCCTGCATCTCGGGAGGAGCCAACAGATATGCTGCATTGGCTATCGGAGTCGCACCAGGAACCAGGTCAATCCTAAACTCGACCTGTCTATCCGGAGGTATCCCAGATAAATCCTCCGGGAATACGTTCGAGTATTCTCGCACTACCGATACATCCTCAACTATCGCCATACCCTTATCCCGGGTATCCATGACATAGGCGACGTATCCTGCGCAACTCTGCTCAAGGTGGCGCCTCGCCCTCGCTGCTGAGCAAAACACTGGTCCACGTTGTGGCCTCTCGCCCTGGATCACTAGTCCTCCCCCACTAGGAGTGCGAACCCTCACTAGCTAGAGCTCACAGTCAACCGCTGCCCCATTGGGGCTCAACCAATCCATACCCACTATAACTTTATTCCCGCGCAGGGGAATGGGAACCAGGTCTACTGAAAACTGGTGATCAAATAACTGTAGCATACATCCTATGTAAACCCTCGTAACCCTGACGGTCCTGTCATCTTCTATCTCCACATCCAATGGGCAATCCAGCTCCCCTGCAGCTCCTACAAATCGCTTGCTGAGCGCGAGCGATACAAAAGATCGGGTGGCACCCTAATCAAATAGTACACAAGGTGATATACCGTTCACTATGAACGATCCTATAACAAAACATATAAACATAAGTAATAAACAATATCAATAAAGAGATAAGAGAGAGATACATACCCGTCACCATGTCAGGAGCTGCTCGTGCCTCCTCTGAAATAAGCTGAAAATCCCTGCTCTGCGTCGTAGGCGCCTCATCCCGGCCCTGACGGCCATCTGTAATCCTTAATGTGGCAGGAGAAGGTGCTGCAACCTTCCATGTGGTTGCTAAACTCGGGCACTGGGACCGCTTGTGTCCCCTCTGATTGCACTGAAAGCAAATCAGATCTGACGTTGTCATGGTGGTGGTAGTGGCTGTGCAATCTCGGCTCACATGACCAGTTCGACTGCACTTGTAGCAGCCCAAACTCCCCGCCTTGCACGTTCCCTCGTGCATCCTGCCGCATTTGCCACAATGACCGTGGTTCTGCTGGCTCCGAGATCTGTGATCTGATACCTTGGGCTTCTTGCCCGAACTCCCTAACTGACCTCCCTCTGGTTTCCTCTTCCTCTTTATCTCTAAATCCAACTCTATCTCTCTCTTGCCATAACAATCATGTCCTCCAGCGCCTTGCAGCTGGAGCGGCTCACAAACTGGCGGATATCACTCCGCAACATCTCATGATACCAGGCCTTTTTCATATCCTCGTCCGCCACGTACTACGGAACGAGAAGGGCCCTCTCCCTAAATTTGGCGGTGATCTCCACCACTCCTGAAACTCTCTGGCAAGCTGCTGCACCTCTATCATGGGTGCAATCTTGGCCCTGAACCGGGTCGTAAAGTCACTCCAAGTCATAGTATCAAGAGCTGCATCATCACCAATGGCATGTCCAACCTCCTCCCACCAGTCACGAGCCCTGTTCTTCAAAAGATAGGACGTAAGTCGAACCTTGTCCCCCTCGGGACATCTGCTGGTGTGGAATGCGTTGGCGACATTCGCCATCCATCTGGTACTCGCAATGGGGTCCCGATCCCCATGGTAGTCGGTAGCTCCACATGCCCTAAACTCCCTAAAAGTGAGTGTGTGCGACCCCATCATGGCCGCCACCTCCGAGCGGAAATCGTTCAACTTCTCATCCAGAACCTCCTTTATACCCTCCTTGACCGATCCAAAGATCACAGGAGTCT